TTAAAGAAAATATAAAAATTTTTTATTATGCTTTTTTTTAAAATAAATAATTTTGATACTATTTTTTTTTTATGATTCTAATTTAAATAAAATAATATATAAAACTTACAATTTAAAATAAATTTTTTATTAAATTTAACTTGAAACTTGATTTGAATTTGACTCAATTTGAATAAATTCAAGTCAAAATCAAATCAAGTTAAACTTAAGTCAAGTTAAATTAAGTTGAATTTAAAATTTATATAACTTAATCAAATCAAGTTAAAAGATTTTATAAAATAAACTCAACTTGACTCGACTCAAAAAAAATGAATCAAATAGAGTTAGTTTTTAAACTTAACTCAACTTAATTCATTCAGAATTCTATTTTTGATATACTTATCATGACTTCTGATAATTGTCATGACTCATTTCCAGTTTCTTTTTTATATTTTTTGTATAAATTGAAATAAATCTTATCTGTTAAAATGCTTAGTAATCTACTTAATTTAGCATGTCAGTCCAGATATTTAGGGGTTAATATTTTATCAAACTTGCTTATATTATCTTTTTATATGATTACAGATCAATTTAAATTATAGTAGATAATAGTCAATATAAATTAGCCTTATAAAAATATATTACAATAAAGTGTAAGCAAATATAGTATTATAAAATAATAAAACTATGCAATTATCTCAATTTTGTGCTGTTTATATTTAATAAAATAAAATTCTAATATATATATATCCCTTCTATACTTTTTTCTTCATTATGTTTTAACTTGCATAATAAACATATTTTCTCATTAGTAATTCCATAATAATTAAAATTTTCACTACTAAATTCTCTATATAAATTAGGATATTGATTTAATATTTTGCTATAAAAATAGGATCAGTTACAGATTGGATTAGATTAAGATACAGATAATATATTTGTTAATATACTTATCTCAGCCTTAATTTGATCATTTTTTTTGAGAAACAATTATCAAATCATATGATTTTGATTGTAAAACATCTTTATGGTTTTATTATATGAATTTGTTACTGAATTCACATAATTTATTATATTTTAGATTTGTTGATAATTAAAACTTGAAATAACATCTACATTATAAGAGACCTGTTTAATTTTCTCTAGTTCTAATATATTAAATAAATTATATAATTTTCTAGCTCTAAGGATTTTTTGACATAAATTCACATCTGTTATATCAAGTAAAAGCTATTTGATTTCTTGATATATCATAGATGTTATAGTTTTTTTTTAACTCTATCAGTAACAAAGTTACCAATCATTTTATCATATTTTTCTATAAAATAGCATCAGTATAAAATTGCTTCTTGATCAAACTTAATAGCTTTCCTAAATATGCAAGCTATATTTTATTCTGTTATAAAATTCAATCTAATAAAAGAGTGTATTCAGGTGATGATAACTTTTGCTTTAACTTCTGTTTCACAATTATATTTTTATCTAACTTGGTAATTACTTCATCATGCTGATCGGTTTAAGTTCCACTATATTACATGGCTTCAATTATAAAGAATCTTCACAGTTTTCAAGATTACATGCTAATTTGGATGCATTAATTTACAATTGCTTTGATAAGATGCAAGATGTTGAACTTATGCTCTCAGAATTAGCTTTATAAGTAGTAATCTAATTCTAAATCTGATAAATTCAGATTGATCTTTCAATCTGTATCTGATATTTTTAGACAAATAGATCTGTTAATAAATTTGGATTATAATTCTAGAATTACCAATCCAAATGATAAATTTTTTTTTCATTTTTAATTTTAGAATTTTCACATAATCTCATTTCGAAAATTTCTCATAAGTCATAGAATATGATAATCCCTTAACTTTCTTTTTATTTCCTCTTTTATTTAATTTTTACAGTACTTATGAAATACAAAATAAATGAAGAAAAAAATTTTTTCTTAAGACAAAATTCTCCTTTAAATCAAATAAAATATTTTATCAATTCATTAATTTTTATTTGATTTCTTAACAATGACAGATGAATTTAATTACATTTATATTGAAAAAGATGATATTACTTAAAATCCTTTAATAGAAAAAGGAAAAAGTAATGTTTAAATTAAATAATTATTTAAAATTTCAATAATTTATATTTTTCAATTTTAATTAATACTATTTATTAAGGTAAAGAAACAAACACAGGCTCTTTTATTAGTTTCAGAAGTTTCAAAAGTGAAAGTCAAAAAGTCAAGGTTTAAATAAAAGGAGAAAACCATCATTTATAAAGCAGTATTTGAAAAAGGATTTAATTTAAAGGGTGAAAAAACTCAGATTTGTATTGTTTTAGATAATAATGAAAAGAGATACAGTCAAACATATCGAAATATGGGAAGTTCAACTGGAAATCTTATTGCACATTTACGAGATACTCACCAAATCATTGGAGAGGATAATGAAGGTGAAAATAAACCTTAAAAGGTAATTTTATTTTATAAATGTTTAAATTTAAATTTTATAATGTACAGTAAATTATAAAACCCTGAATTTAATTAAATTATTCCTTTTTAGTTACGAAATGCAAAAATTACTGATTATGCTCGATCTCATCATCTTCATCCCAAAAGCAACGTTAAGAATCTCTTTTTAAATGGGATGTTGCTTATTAATCAACCTATTTTAACCGTTACAAATCCAGCATATAAATAAAAAATGATACATTTTGATCCTTCATTTGTAGTATCTAGAGAACAAAAAATTAAAACAATGATAGTTAAAATCTATCCGACATAATAAGCAAAACTTGAAAAATATCTTAAGTGAAACTGCAACAATGGTGTCTTTCACTACAAATCTTTGGTCTAGTAGGGCTAAACATGGGTATATTGGTATTACTGCAACCTGAATTACATTAGATTTTAAAGTTAAAGATGTAATGTTAGAAATAAAATATGCTCCTTCTCCTCATACCGCAAATGCTGTTGCTGAATTACTTTATAAATGTATTTCAAGTTGGGATCTTAATGAACGTGTAATAGCAATTGTTACAGACAATGGATCAAATATGAAGGCGGCATTTCCTATTTTAAATCAAAAGAATCAATGTAAAGCTATTCAACAACTTCCCTGTATAGCTCATACACTTCAATTAGAAATTGGAAATTCTAATAACACGTGCAAAGAGATTAATCAATTTTTTTTCAACACAAAAGCAAATAGAAAGATTGGAAGAAGTCCAGCGTAAATTAAAATGAGGATGTGATGCGTTGTATACAAGATGCACAAACACGTTGGAATTCGTCATATTATGCTTGGGATCGTCTTTTTTATCTCAAGGATACAATCATTCAACTCCAAGCTGATTTGTAAACGAGTACCAGTAGAGAGGACAAAAAGGATGGTATTAAATTAAAAAAAATCTTATTATCTGAGGAAGAATGGGATTTGTTGGATAAATTGGTTGATATTTTACTTCCATTCGAAGAAATAACCCGGGAATTTTCAGGAGGATCTTATGTAACTCTCAGCAAAATGATGCCTAATATTAATGAACTCATTTTTAATATAGTACCATCAAATAATACAGATTAATTATCTTAATGAAAATACTGTATTTGAAGAAGACACTGTAGATATAGAAAATGATACCGAAGAAACTATAAGTAATATTACTAAAAAGAAGATTTCCATTAAAGATCCATTAAATACTGAAGGAATTTTCGAAAAAGTGAAGAAAAATATATATAATGCTTTGCTTTATTACTGGAATACTCCTCATGATGCAGGATTAATGGTTTCTTTGCTAGATCCTCGCTATAAAGAATTGGATTTTTTGTTAGAAGATGAAAAAGAAAGATAATTCAAAAACTTCATATTGAGTTTAATGAATCTAATAATTTACTAACAACGCCCTCACCTGCAATAAAACCATCAAATCCAATCATGCCTTCCTTAGATGCAGAAGCATCGTTGCGATCACAAAAAGATTATCGTCAACGGCGTCAAAGTAAATATAAAAAAGATAAATCACCTACAACAATTGATGAAATTAGTAATTATTTAGCAATGCCAATTGCGTTGGAAGCAACTTCGAGCAAAAATTTATCACAAATTGCCCGCAAATATCTTGGAATACCAGCAACATCTGTATCAAGTGAAAGATTATTTTCACATGCTAGTAATTTAATTACAGTGAAAAGAACGCGTTTGGATACAAATTTGGTGGGTCAGATATTATTTTTGAAAAGAAATATTCGTTCAATGGAAGTTTTTGCAAAAGAATGGGACGAAACTGAGGAAATTTTATTAAATTAAAATTTTTCAATAATTTTTTCTTGTTTTAAATCTAATAAAATTAATGATTTTATCAAATATTAAAAATTTAAATAATAAATGCTAAATAATATTATTATACTCCATTTCTAAACTATACTAGCTACTTGTTGTTAATGGTTTAGAACATTGTTCCAGTTGGTTCGATTCCAACAAACAACTATCTATTGAAATATATAATCCAAAGTCAGATCTATAAAAAAAACGAAAGGGAACATTAATAGATGTTCCCAATTAAAGAAATATAAAGAAAACGGAAGTTTCGCGAAACTTACCATTCCAAGTGTCCTAGATGTCCCAAGCCCGATTCCTATAAAACAGAACGAAAGGGAACGTTAGTGACGTTCCCAATTAAAAAAAAAAAAAGGGAAGTTTCGTATGAAACTTACCATTTATAAACGTTTAAATACCAAAAATCCCCAGTTCCTACAAAAAACAATGAAAGGAACGTTAATTACGTTCCCTAAAGCAAAATCAAAAAGCAAAACGAACGAACTTACCATAGTACAAGTCGGGTGGCGTAGTAAATTGCAAATCTGATTTTGGCCGGCACTATGGCATAATTCAGGCTGATCTTTAGGGCATGTGATTTGGAGGATAACTGGCGCTATGGTAGTGATCCGAAGCTGTCATGGAACTGGTGAGGAACTGGCAAGATGCTACGTTCGTTTAAAATCCTGGTCGTCCGGTTCGTCTGGTTCATCCAGGTCTCCTAAAAAATAAAGGGAACGTTAGTGACGTTCCCAATTAAAAAAAAAAAAAAAAGGAAGTTTCGTAACGAAACATACCGTTCCAAAATGTTCCCAATCCCCAGTTCCTACAAAAGAAAAAGAAAGGGAACGTTAGTTACATTCCCAATTAGAAAAACAACAAAAGAAACAAAAGTTTCGCAACGAAACTTACCGTTCCAAATGTTCCCAAACCCGAAAACTCCCAGTTCTTACAAAACAAAACGAAAGAGAACGTTATTAACGTTTCCTGAAAGTAAAAAGTAAAAAAAATTAAATAACAAAAAAAAATGTGGCTTAGATCTGATTATATAAGCCGATTCGATCCATAGATAGATTATTATATCCGCCGAATTCGATATCCTAAAAGGAGGTTTTGACAATATTATAGATTTTCATTAATGATATAATTTTAGCGATGTTCCAGGAAGAAGAAATTCCCCTAAAGAAATAAGTAAATAAATAAAAATAAAGATAAAAATAAAAATACTAATTCCTAGAAGTCTATTGTTCCTAAAGAAACAAGAAAAAAACAAGCAAAAAACAAACAAATTTTAAAGAAACCCAGTGACGGATTATCCGTTAAAAATCGGATTAGGATGAATCCGAATAGATCTGAAATTAAGGATAAATCCTTAAAGATAAATCCTTAAATCGGATAGGATTGATCCGGATGGATCCTAAATAAAGGATGAATCCGTTGATCCGGATAGCTCTTTAAAAATAGGATCGGACCACTACTCATAAGATTGTGATAAGCCTTGCTCTGAAGTTAACATGTCTGTGACCTCAGGAATTTTAGTCACGTCCTGAGAAATTAAAGTGCCTCTTGATCTCTCTGCTTCTTTTTCCCGCCTCCTCTCTCTAATCTCATTGCTAATGCTTTTCTTATGCGCCTCATCCAAGAAATCGACCATTTCCTCATCGTTACCATCAAGGTCACTAGGTGCTCGTCCTACTTCATTATTGAGTTGATCTATTACAGAGGGTATATCAACAGTTGGTACCGTCACCATCGCTTCTTCACCGTTTTGTGTCTGACCAAATGACAACGCCATCCCATACCCTGTTCTAGTAATGCAAGTCTAGCCTCAAGCTCTCCGACTCTAGACTTGAGTTCAGCATTCTCAGAATCACGCCTTGCATTTCTTCGCATTCTCAGCCTCAACCTCAGCAGATATTAGTAATTTCTCTCTAAGTTCAGGAATCTCAGCATTCTCCTTCCTAAGTTTGGCAATCTCAGCTAAGAGCTTGGCATTTAATTCTCTCAATGAATCAGTGGATTGCATGTTCGATGATAATTTTTTATGAGATGGAATAATTCAAAAGCTCGTTAGCATAGATAAAAAAACGAGGTGATATCCTCATCGGAATAACTGATTTATTGATGTAAAAAATAAATTACAAGATTCAGTAATACATAAACTTGTTTTATAAAGTGAAGTAAAAGTTTCTATGCTAATGCCTTAGTTTTTCGTCTAAACTACCCATATTAGCACATTGTCACTCCAGCCCGGGATACACATTTTCTATACAAGTGACTATACTATTATCTCTTTTGAAAACTTCATCTGAAGGTTAATCTTTTATTAAAAAACATAGAATCTCCAAATGCTACGCGACGCAGAGAAAAAGCTCAGCTGGCGTTGAAGCGTACCATCCTGGTCGACACTGGGTCATTAGCAGACAAACTCCCAAAGGTAATAACGTTTCTGCCTATCCAAGATGAATAACACTGTGGGTTTTTTCCCGACCTTCAACTTAATACCTAGCAGACGCTTGCGCAGGGATTGTGTTTTAAAAACGTCCGCAGAATACAAGCGAGTAACACTGAGGGTTTTTTCCGCTCGAGTAAACCAGCTGTGCTTTGGAGAAACAGTCTAACAAGCCCTTTTTATTGTATAGGATCGGTCGGACCAAAAAAAAATTAAATATGATTGGCTGTATTTGAGATCACGGTCTACTGATCAAATTTATTGGCTGGTGTACGCGTTTTTTTTTGCGATTTATTGCAGATATTCAAAAACTCTTTTTTAAGTTGTTATTATGTTAATTTACATCGCTATTAAAAAATGAATAACAAACGAAATGAGAGGGTCGATTTCCTACTTAATCACCCAGCTCCTACTCCACTAAACTTTTATATAAAGTTTGGATTACGTAGCAAGCTAGCTGCCAACTCAGAATATAAAACACGATTGAAGCAAGCGATTGAATGTGACCCTAGCTCGAAGAAATTGCTAGAATTAGAAAAAAAAATTGCTTTTGGGCCACTATAAAAATGACTGGACAAGTTATGATGATTGGAGAGAAAATAATAAAGCAAACGTATGTGTTTTTTATTATAAGAAGGGGAAGTTTTATCTCGTACAGTTTAACTTGCTTTCCAGATTACAGCCTGTACGTATTGATTTTTCCAACTCTGACTATACTGAAAAAAATTGAAATAATAATAGAAAAAAGTAAAAAAAAAGAAACGTCAAGCCCATATCGAATTTCATGCTCGGTTAGATAACGATCTTAATGGTAAAGTTTTCTTACTTACATCAAGTTATCATAATGACTTTATTCATTGATGAGTTCTCTCCAATGCTTATGCAGATGGATATGAAAACGGATCGTATCATGGAGATGAATCTGGACAAGATAATGGCGATGATGATGATAACTTCTTTCATTTATCTCCAGAGGAAGTTATATTTATGTTGCATGATTTAGAATTACAATAATTACAATGTAATCTTTTTTCAATTATTTCCTAGGAGACGCAGGAATACTACTCAAAGATGCATGAACAAAAAGTCAACTATAATGTCCAGTATGTTTCTGTAAATACAATGGCTTTTCCGGCCTTGAAAGAATATTGTAATATATTAGAGCAATTGGAGAACCATTATATTGAAGAAGAGTCTCAACGTGGAAGACACCTCTTCAAATTACTTACTTGGTCAGTTGTAGACAGTAAATTGTTCCCGACACAGGATCCTATATGCTATCCAGATCTATTAAGACCAACTGTAAATTTTGGCATTATAGTTGCAGCTTTGAAAGATACTCAACATCAAAAACTACATGATGCTATCCCAGTATTAAATAGAATCATAAAAGAAGGTAAAGTGGGAATAGTGCAGTCAGGCATTACAGGTACAATACAACGTTGGTTGGGTTTAGAGCCTGCTAATTTCGTTATTGATGCACCAACAGCTTTGTCTGCATTGACATCAGTCCTACTATTCGTACCTTCACCAGTTCGCCCTGGTGCTGATCCTTCCGAAAATCATTTTAAATCTCAGTTTTGGACAAAAATATTATCGGATGCATTTTCTCTTAATGTCGATCCTTTTGAGTCTACATGGGAGCTCCATCATCAAATTCCTGGTGATAGTGGAAAGGGATCGGCCAGATCAGATTTTACATGTATTGCTATTTCTCTTATCACAATGGAGCAGTACCCTTTTTTTATCTCGGAGTTTGAAGTTGGTGGTGTGCAGGTCCATAAAGATTATGCTGTTGTTATTGCTGAAGCGTCCCATGCCCTAAACCGCATACTTTCGACGCATATGTTTTCAGAATCGGAAATATCCTTGATCCGAGTGCATGTTGCCTTAGTAAATAATGCTCATATACGTCTTGGAATATTAAGACCTCTCTACAGCCAGGAATATGATACCACCATATATATTTATGATCAAGATGTCAAGAGCTTTGACCTGCAATCAGATTGCATTGGAACTAATATCGAGAACGTATTCAAATTAATAGTTTACCTGAGGCAGGTTGTTTGTAAGGATGGCCTGTACCTGAGAAATCTTCTTGACGAAAGGGTTTCCCAAAAACGAAAATTTGATTTTGGATTGCCAAGGCTTCCATCGGAGGCAGAAAAATCCAGATTACTGAAGGTTAATTTCACTCCAAAAGCAAAAAGAGTTAGATATAGTACTTGGGATAAAGGAGGTGATCTTCAGCATATTATTATGGTAATCCTTTAATGTTACTTGAAGAAAGTGCTCCAAGAAACGTAAATCAACAAGTGATCGATGAAATTGATTCGTCAATAACTGGTTCTTCGTCAATGAAGATCAGTAATTTATTGAATTAATTAATGGATATCACTTTATCTCCAAACTATTAGAGTTAGATAATGTAACTTTTATCTTTATACAGCATATTTTAATGCACTTTAATAAACTAATAGATTTTTGACATGCATAATTTTTTATTCATTTTTCATGTTAAAAAATATGGACATGAAATGTATGATGCTATCAAAGAGGGAGGGAGTACGCGGATCCTAGGCCATTTAATGCGAGTCCCAGCATCAAGTTATTTCTTTGCTCTCACATTTACGAAAAATATCTATAACTAATTTGTTTCTATCACTAAGTTTCTCAGATTTCCGAAATACTTTATCCCACCCATATCTACAAAATTTTAGTCTATTTATATTACCCCACCCACATAGTCTATGTAAAAGATTATTCCCCGCAAGAGAACTTTTCCGAGAGGAAGTAATTTCGATTTTATAGGAAGAATTCGAAGATTAGCAATGAGATATAAAAAAATAATCAATGCAGACATATTTCCTATTCTTACTCACCACTACGATTCATTTTCATAATATTCCATTCCGTCTGAAATTTGTTGCTTATTGTTGATTAGGTAATTCGATTTTTTTTTCGCCAGTACGATACCGCGCCAAGTATCAAGAATTTGGCACGTGAACTCGTGAAGGAAAATTTTATTAGATATACTGCGCCAAATTTTATTGAGGAGCGTGATGTTAAGGCATGTGATGAGATTCATATGAATAATTTCACTGCGCCTATTATACGCATAATGATGGTCAGTGATTTTCTCAAAATGCCGATACATAGCAAGAAGAGTAATACCCGTTTTACTTTGAAACATCTATAGAGGCGGAAAATAGATTAGCATCGTGATAGCATGTCCTAGCTGAACAATAAACCAACCTACCTTATTATTACTTTGAGCAATATACGAGTTCATTTGATTGTTGATTTTGACGATGTTAATAGTGGTAAGTTTGAAATTTTATTAGAAGTTTTCGCTTAATTTTGCTTATATTTGCACAAGGCGGATAAAAAGATTCACTAACCGGGACGTCACCCTTTTATGTAATTCGCAGTGGGCCTAAGATCTTCGAGAAATAATTTCGTTGATATGATAAATCCGATTAACTCACCAAAAATGGAAGGATTATGCGTCTTTGGCTAACACTAACGGGTAATAAAAATTATTCTGTGGCAATTGAGTCGATCTGCTTATCCACCTCCATTTTCCATTTCAAACATCATGATCTTTGATACATGCAAATCAGGGGCGGTTAAATTTCGTGAAAAGCTGAAAAGCTGGGAACATTTGGGAAAAAACATGACGAATATGCTACAGCTAACATATCTTTTTTGGGGTTATTATTACGTTTGCCCCTAAAAATAGACATGTGGAGGATCCGAAATATTCTAAAATAGGTCAGAGGAAAAATGAAAAATTTTATAATAGCTGTATCCATTTCTTCAGGGCTGACATTATGTAATTCTGGTCAGCATTATCTAAAAAAGAAAGTAATTTATGAGATTTTGACTCATTTTATGCAAATTTGCTATCTCTGATCTCTCTATATTTCAGGTTCTATATGTAACGTATTTACTGTGCATAGCTGAATGAATATACTGCAATAGGATTTGAAGTATGTGATCAAAATCATGTGAACAGTTTTTATTTAAAATAACAAACATATGCAACTGTGAAGAATCTTTACAATCAAAATCACGTGTGCGTGAACAATTATTCACACTGATCACTTTTTGCCAAGAAAAAAATTTTTATTATTACATGTGAAAAATAAATACATAGTTTAGGATTACACCTGTAATACATATTATTTTTTGATAAATTTTTTGATTCTAACTTTCTTATTAGTCAGGAAACTATTTTACACTAATACGATCCTTCAGCAACTTAACAATAATATCAATTATCCTTTTTATGTTGTTTCGAAGACATTCAGGATTTTCTTTAATGGTGGATTTCATAAGATTAATCTGATATTTCTTACCACTTGTGAAGTAAATATTATCTGGAGTATATATGAAGTAAATATCATCTAGAGTATATATGATAAAATGCCACTCTGTATCTGTGATCACAATATCATAGATGTAGTCAAAATAGTCATTTTTAAATGCCTGATCTGCAGTCCATTTCTTTTTATTTGTCTGAAATATACTCTCAAGTTGTATTAGATTCTAAAAGATAAAATATATCATCCTTTAATCTTCTTCCTTCAGTTATTTCAAAGCCAATAGACTAAAAAGGTGAATAGATTTACTTAGGCATATCCAATCTTAATATTGTATGGTTTCTCTCAGTAACAAATAGAAGGTCTTTAAACTTTTGATCATGTAGTCTACTTGGCCTATTACATTTTCATCAGAAATATCCTTCTTAGAATTCTAGATGAGTCAAGTTAACTCATGAGTCAGATAAGCTGAATTGAGTTTAAATCAAGTCGAGTTTATATTTTTTTGACTCAATGATTTGCAAATTAAGCAAATTCAAGTCAAGTTAAATATTTAACTCGACTCGATTTAAACTCGACTTGATTCGAGTTGACTCAAATTAACTTAAACGATGATGAATCGTTCAACTTGAACAATATTTTTATTGTTCAAGAAGAACGATGACGAATCATTCGACTTGAACAATATTTTTTATTGTTCAAGAAGAATGATGACGAATCATTCGACTTGAACAATATTTTTTTATCGTTCAAGAAGAACGATAACGAATCGTTTAACTTGAATGATTTTTTTATCATTCAAGAAGAATGATAACAAATCGTTCAATTTGAATGAATTTTTTATCGTTCAAGAAGAATGATGATGAATCGTTTAATTTGAGCGATATTTTTTTATTGTTCAAGAAGAACGATGATGAATCATTCAACTTAAACGATTTTTTTTTATCGTTTAAGAAGAACGATGACGAATCGTTCAACTTGAACAATATTTTTTTATTGTTCAAGAAGAATGATGATAAATCATTCAACTTGAACGATTTTTTTTTATCGTTCAAGAAGAACGATAATGAATCATTTAACTTGAATGATTTTTTTATTGTTCTTCTTGAACGATGATGAATCATTCAACTTGAATGATATTTTTTTATCGTTTAAGAAGAACAATGATAAATCATTCAACTTGAACGATTTTTTTTATCGTTCAAGAACGATGATGAATCGTTCAAGAAGAACAATGACAAATCGTTCAACTTGAACGATTTTTTTATTATTCAAGAAGAATGATGCCGAATTGTTCAACTTGAATGATTTTTTTATTGTTTAAGAAGAACGATAACGAATTGTTCAACTTAAATGATTTTTTTTATCGTTTAAAAAGAACAATGATAAATCATTTAAGAAGAAATATAACGAATCGTTCGCTCTTTCCCCTCTCCTTTCCCGATCTTTTCATTTTTTTTTATTATTTTTTTCAAAATCAAATTGAGTTAAAATCGAGTTGAGTCAAATTGAGTCGAGTTTAAAATTTATATAACTCAAATCAAATCAAATTAAAAGATTTTATAAAATAAATTTGATTCGACTCAACTTGAAAAAAGAGAGTCAAATAAAGTTGATCTTTAAACTCAACTTGATTTGACTCGTTCAGAATTCCAATCCTTCTGCAATATTATAAAAATATCTTAAGAAGTAAGTTTTTAATAATGGTAATTGACACATGTAATATTGTTAAAACACATCACCTTATTAGTATCAGTCATAATTTTCACATTCAAAAGTTTTAAAATTATACTTCTATGCAGTGATTGAATACTTTATCATTCTTATTAATTTCTTTGAAGACTGTGAAAGAAAAATAAGTTATTATTTACAATGATTCACTTTAAAGCAGAATAAAAATAAGAATAATTACTCGTTAGGAAGACAATCATTGCTTGAATTTCATTGTATATTTTATAATGTGTAAATCTATTATTAGAGATATATATAGATTTTAAATCTTATCATATGAAATGATCATTAGGATTTGATATTCTAGATCAGTCTAATTTTACTAGTGCTAGAAGTTTTTGTTTTCTATCTAAGGCTGTCTTGTAAATAGTAAGCTTTAATAAAGACTTTCTTGCCCTAAACTGTCTATTTTAATTTATACGATAATAGAAAAGGCTATAAGATTTTTATTTTAAATGATATATACATTATCATTACTGTGCTCTCAGTCATATAATAAATATTATAATGAGAAGATGTATAATAATAAAAATTTATCAGGAAAAGTATCAAATAGGTATGAAAGATTATATCTATAAATGTTAACTTTTTTAAGCAATATCTCTACTAATTTGAATTCAGCTTCAATAGCATCATTATTTATAATAGTATATCTTATAGTACTTAACTCTGAAATTTCTAATAAAAGGCTTTTTATGACTTCTGATTCATCATTAGGCAGATGAATTATGAAGTCAAAGATAATTCTATCTTTTAAATACATTGCTTTTTTTACCTGTATATAGGAGCTAATCTTTTATCAAATTTAGATGCTCTAAGCATTTATAAAAAAAATGATTATTTATTTGCTATATTAATAATACTACTATTCTGAAAAGAAATTAAAAGTTTCTTTTAAACAAATTCAGTAAATACTACAACTTAGGCAATGTTTAAAAGTCTTATGCTGAAAGTTGAGATATAAAGAGATATTTTTTTCATATCACTGCTATCTATAATAGTTATAGTTTTTTTATTCTATTCTGAAAATATTTCTAAACATACTTCTTTAAAAGCATTGCAAAGTATATTTTTAATCTACTTGTCTAAAAGTTTAAAGGAGATAGTATTTAATATTTCTACTAACAAATCGAAATCTATGATAGGGTAAAGTAGCTTATCACTATTAATAAATTTGTATAAGAAATGTCTTTCACATTCTGAAAATATAGCTTCTATTCTATTCTTATTGTCTATACCAAAGAAATTTCTTAGTCTGACACTATCATCATGAATTTTGTATTAGTATTAACCTACATCAGATACTTTAAA